GGGGGACAAGGGGCTTAGTAGTCACAAGCAGGAGAAATGGGGCGGAAGGGTGTAAAGCCAACAAATCACATTATACCAGCTATGCAGCTGAATCCCCCCCACCCCCCCACCCCCCAAGGAGGAATGGCTTACCTCCTGGTGAAACTGCCCCCAATTCTTCCTTTGATATATATGCTCCAAGACAGAGGCTTTAAAGCTGCTTATGAATTGAGTGTGTTTGCCATTCAACTCACTTGTTGGATTTGGTGTGGGGACACACTGGGGGGCTTCAGCTGCCATTGTGATGTGCGGGGCTTCTGTCGTGTCCCTGTGCCTTTAGGGGACGTTCAAACCAGACAGTGTGTTCCGCCCTGATTCTGGCCAGAATGCACTGGATTGCATTGTGGCAGGCTCACTATGTTGTGGGGCGGGAGGAGGCGGGACGGTCCATTGAATGGCACCGTAGGCACGCCCTTCGGCCGCACGAGAGCGCAAAGCACATCAATGCCTGTGGTCCGGTCCGAAAAAATGCTGCAAGCACTATCTTTTCTGACCGGACCGCAGGCATTGATGTGCCACACGTTCCCGTGCGGCCAATAGCATTGCGGCCGGAGGGAGTGGCTACGGTGCCATTCACGTCAATGGACTTCCCCTTCACGATCCGTCGCAGAAAAGCAACAGGAAGTAAGAGGGGAAGCCAAAAGAGTTGGCTATACATGCAATTGAAATGATGGTCCTTTGTAGGAGTTCAGCTGTTTACACCCAATTGACATGAGGCTACTTTGTAAATATATGTATATATCGGACCGGCCATACACCAGTGGTGCTTCCTATTAGTAGTGAGAGAAAGTCACTCCCATCTCATCCCGGGTCAGTCAGTTTGATCAACATGACTGAAAGCAAAAGGATTCTTTAGGAGGAAAAACTGACTATGTCAGCAAGCATGCTGAACCCCATCTGCCGCCCGACCCCCCCCCCCCCCCCACCCCCAAAATACAAGAGAACCTCTAAAACACAACACCCATGTCCCTTCAGGGTATACTATACAACTAGAACAGAACATTATTCTCTCATATTTCATAAACCTGTAAAGACGAGGAGCTACCAAGCTAAACTGCTGTTGCCGCGGTGACAGAAGACGCAGCGTTTAATACCATAGTAGATGTGTTTAGAAGACAAAGCCGCCATCTGAGTATTTTGGCCGGATAAATGTATGTTGATTCATATTAAAGCCAAAACATATTTCGTTCACATGGGTGCAGCAAGAAACTGGAAAATAAAACTGCCAAAAAGCACAAAGTCTCCATTGAAGTCAATATGCAAAGTTGTTAAAAGTTTGGCAAACGCCCAAAGTGTGTAAATTGATTTGAAATAAGTGCAGGTCGTACTTTAGGTTTTCGGACTGCTAGGGATGCCTAAAGACCATCTACGGGGCAAAGAAAACTTCCCAACAGTGGAGCTAACCCCAAACTGCAAGGGTTACCTGCTTGTTCATGCCTAGGGACCGGGGTACAGGACCTTTAATTACCTGATCACCATACCCGCTGGATCCAAGACCAGCTCCCTGCAGCCTTTCCTCTCCCCCACTCCGGTGGTCCTGGGCCCACTGACATCAAGTACAATGCAGGGCCCATAGCCCCACATTATACAGAAGGACGCAGAGGGACAGTCCATGAGCCAGAGAGTAGGACAGACAAGGTGAGCACCAAGTGTTGGGGAGCAGGGATAAGGCAAGTAAAAGTTCTCCACACCGGTCCCCTAGTTATCAATTAAAGTGACACTAAACTCAGGAGTTACACCTTAAAAATGCATTAAAAGTACCTTAAAGCGACCATCACCCTTATCCTTAAAATAACAAACACTTTTAGAAACGTTTAGTAATGAATCTACAATCATACTTCTAGATAATTGCCGGCTTTGCATTCCTGATTTCTCTTTTCTTCCCCAGTCTTCTAGCAGTGGCCATGTTTACTAAGGTCAGATTACTAGCTCTCCTTTTACTTCCTGGATTACAGGCACGTGACTAAACATGTGACCATGCACATCATCTCAGGGGAGGAAAATGCCTTTCCCTGAGATCTTATGAGATTACAGACAAGATTTCCCAGCAATGCTCTGCTGATGACAAGGCAATCCCAGTGTGCATTGCTTTGCCAAACTGAAGTCATTTAGCCCTTTCAAAGCAGGAAGTGAATGTTCTGCAAGTGGAAGTATTTCACAATCACAGCATTTTACACCTGACATGTCTATGTTATTATTAATCATCCTATATAGGAGGGATGTATGGTAGAATTTGATTTTTTAGTGTAAAGTTATGCTTTATTAATAAAAATGTATCTTATTTGTGTATCACTCGGCTGTAGATCCTCAAATCATCTCTGAATTGGTGCCGACACTGTCCTTCCTTCTGGAGGGGGGCTACATGTGTTCCCCATGGTCCCTGTGTGTGTTGTAAAGTAGTCACCGCTCCAAGCTCGCTCCCGGGATGGACTGAAAGCTCAGGTTTAATTTACTAATTTGTATTGAGATTTAAGTACATCCCGGGAGCGAGCTTGGAGCGGTGACTACATTACAACACACACAGGGACCATGGGGAAGAAGAGGATCTACAGCCAAGTGACACACAAATAAGAGACGTTGTTCATAGTTAAAAAGGTACCTGAATGTATTTTTACGATTTAAAACCCGAGTTTAGTGTCACTTTAACCCTTGCAGTGCGGGGGTACACCACTGCAAGGGGAGTTTTTTTGCCCCTCCTAGAGATAAGCTTTAACAAAGTCCTCCAATGCAAACAACTTAATTTTGCATGGAGAGTGATGGGGGAACACCTTAATGTAAAACATCACTCAGATATGAAACCCCAAACTGAATAGCCATTGATGTGAAGTTGCTCTTCTCATGATGATACTTAAAGGAAACCCATTGTGGCAGCTGTTACCCATCTTCCTAGGCTCCCAACCAACAGTGGAAGCTTCCCTGCAAAATTAAACTACCATGAAGACTCTCCTAAAGTGGACCTTTACCCCCTTTCACTAAGTCACCTCAGCATGCAGCTCTGCATTCAGATATGAAATCTTGCATTCATTAAACATATTTTTCTTTTACTTACAATTATTTTTTCAGACTTCCTGGTCCTCTTGGGCACTAGTGATGTAATGTGCCCAATAGTTGCACCCTGGGCAGATTACATCAGCAGAGCATTGCTGGGAAATCTAATCTATAATCTCACGAGATCTCAGGGAAAGGCATTTTCCTCTCCTGAAATGATGTGCATGGTCACATGACCCAGTCACATGTGAAAGAGTTCCAGGAAGTAAAGGGAGATAAAGGGAGTTAAAAAAATGGCCACTGTGAGAAGAATGGGGAGGAAAAAAAAATATATAATGTATGCAAAGAATAAAAAGCCGGCACATATCTAGAAGTATCCGTTTGCAGATTGTCATTACTAAACATTTCTAAAAGGTGTCTTTGTTGTCCTATCATAGATATGGGTCAAGTTCATCTTCAAATAAGAAGCAGCTCCTGCCCATTACCTGCAAACCTTGACGTGGCACCACAGAAACCACCTCAGCTTACCACTCATCACAGTCTCTACCTAACTCCTCCTCAACCAATCTCTTCTCTACCCCCTACACAAGTTGTCCCTTTGTTCCGGGTCCCTCGCTGGTGCACTCTCTGGGAAAAGAGACAGCTAATTCAGCACTGCAGATGTGCTGGTGTTGTCCAGGTCTCAGACAGTCCCCCATGATGAGGACAACCAACAGGGAAGTGTCTATGTCACACAGGTAGTAACATGGCCAACTGAAGGACCCCAGAGGAGGAAAGTGCAGTGAAATCAGAGAAAGAAATACTCAAGTAGAGGAGCCGGTACAACAGTTTAAGACTGAAGGGAATGCCGGAGTTCATATTTAAAATATCAGTTATTGGGATCTCAGTTAACGGGAATTCAATCCAGAAGATGGCCCATCCAGAGCCGGAGAACACATCAATTGTGTATGCTGGCTTATTTTTGGACTAGGTTAAACCAATTACCCAGTGTATGTTAAACGTACAAAATTAAAACCTGTGCATATGCAAGAATAGTACATACAGGTAAATTTCCTCTTATACGTTGCAGACCATTTCAAATAACTAGAAGGAGGAATCTATAGCCACAGCAGCCAGACCTACAGCTATCTAGCCAGAGCAGGTTAGAAAAGGAAAGCCAGAAACTTCTTTTGTGACAACCTTCTCATCACTTTGCTTCAGAGCCCCAACCAGTCAGCCATCCTTCAGCATATTCATTATATGTGAACCTACTTCATCCGTGCATTTAGGCATTGCCTGGGGTTCAGCTTTAACAAGTCCTTCTCAATCACCAGAATGCTTACACAAAATCAGGACTAGTGCAGTAGCAAATGCAGGATGAGGTCACCTATAATGAAGCATTGTGGCAAGCAACACTGATACCTAGAAGGGATTCGGCCCAGGACAATTAGGCCAGGACTGGACAAATCCCGGCGTCACATAGCCAATGCTCCTTAAAAATCACAGGTGGCACCTAAGGCTTGACATTTCTCTAGCGGTTGTCATTGGAGCTGGCTCCTAAGCAACACTGCTGGCTTCCATATAAAATTGGTCCACTCCTGGGTTAGGCAATGCTCCACAACAACCAAGTAGCGCCTATCCATCTTCTAGGATGCATCCATACACTGAATAGTTCAGTCAGCACAGAGATTGCTCACCATGAGAACAAGCACAGTGAATAGAGTGGCATACAAACCCTCTAGGCACATTTTATAACCACAGCAAGACACAAAGCTCCATTTGCAATATAAACGCTGAAAATGTCTTGCGCAAATTACCTCCATCTCGGAACAAAAAAACAAAGACACATGCATATGCTTTACAAGCCAATCTGGATTTCACATTATAAAAGCCTTTACATGGTCAATGAACCCAATGGCTTCAAGGACTCCCATATAACAGATGGTACATTATGCCTATTATATGTCAAGGTCACACACAGGCAGCATACTCACCTTGTCTTTCTCATGAGGCAGTAGACAAACTGGAGGGAGGGAAGATAACGATTCCCATCCCTGCTTGCCCTCTGATGTCTTGGCGTTCAGCTTATAGAGGGATCCCTCCTTCATGATTCTTCCATGACCCAGTGCACGCTTAACTGCAAGCCTGAGTTGCTGGTGGAAAGCAGAAGCTGCACCTGAATTGCCACCGAAGGATGCCCCCACATCCCGCTGACTCCACAGAAAGCGTTCGATGCTTTTCAGACTAGAGCCCCCTGGCTCAGCCAGCCATTCTAATGCCCTTCTCAAGAGCCGATGCCAGTCCAAACCCTCTGGCCGCCCCGGGCCCCTGCCAGTCTTAGGTAGCGCCAAGCGGCCAGGGTTATCAGGGTCTTTGTAGGAGTTTTGCCCCTTGTTGGAAACCTTAAGGACCGTTCCATCCTTAACACTGAGTTCCAACTGTTCCAAGACAGTGTGGCGATCAAGGCCGTGCGACGTGGACACAGCATTGCAAACGCGCTCTTCGGATGGGCGCTGTTTCTGCTTCTTCACCTTCCTGATGGCCTCCAGGATCCATTGCGTATATAAAGGATTTGCCAACTTCACCATGATGACTGTATCTCCATAGAGGTTTAGCCCTGGTCCTGGAGGGAGGAAAGGAGGCTGGCACTGCCCGGAGGCTGGCTCACCATAGCACACCCCAAGATCTCGTCACACAACCTTGCCAAAGTCCAGGAGTCTTGTTATAGAGGTAAAGATCCACACTGATGCAAGAGACAACAAAGATTTCTCCAAAATACTGAAAAACACGACCAAAATTGACAGAGCTTCAAATCTGTGAACACAAAAAGGATAGTGTTATATTAGGCAATAGCCAGGAAATAATGAACACATTATATCTATCATTATTCTATATTAAATAAACCCAATTTATTTAGATTGCATTGCAGATTTACCATTACAGTGGCAGGAAGGGAACAGATAAGAGGCAACCTGGATATAATGTCTGCAACCACCTGACCCTTCTTTCTCTATAGTACTCAACACGTTACCATACATGGCTCTATGTGGCAAGATAAATACGGAGGCTGTCTTTGGTCTTTTGGACATACACACCACTGCAAAAACAACTGGCTTCTTATTTGCCCTTGCTTTGAGCCTGCATTGATCATGGTGTGAATGAGCCCTTACAAGAACTCACTTGCACCCAAAAAGGAGAGCGGTGACATCACTTTAGCATTTGGGTGATGGCATTTAGGAATGGCAATTGACTGCTAGACCCAAGCCCTTTCATATGGCAGGCGTCCACATGCTTCCACCATACATGGAAGCACCACATATTGTTGCTGCCTCCGACTGAGGCCAGGTGATAGGTTGTAGCAGAGAACAGTTAGAGACTCTTTCTTGACCAGGCCCTGGGGTGCCTTGACATTTTTGAAAGGGTCATGCTTTCCAAATCTAGGGAGGGTGGGATAAACTCAAAAAAAGAGGATGGAAGCTCACCACCATGCAGGACTGTTCCACCTCCCATCCTTCGTCATCCTCCTGCAGCTTCTGATGTGAAAGGGGGAGACCGGGAGATGTCGACGTGAAAAGCGGGAGATGCCGACGCGAAAAGCGGGAGACGACTGATATTAAAAAAAGGGGTGTTTTGCGTGACCCACCCTTACAATCTGTACCAGACCACTATCTGGTATGAGGGTCTAGCATAGATTTTAAAGAGTCATTGTTCACATTTTAGACTGGGGTTCCTTTTTTAAAGGGTGCCATGACAAAAAATAAAAGTTGGAGGTGCTGCCCTACTTTATCCAAAACTTAAAAAGTTTGGGCCCTGCATGCACTTTAAATGCAGTTATTGTCGTCTTTAAAAATATAAACAAACACAAATCAGCGTCACATTACCAAACCAAAGTTAGGCGGCGCATGTAAACTAAACGCCAATTTCCGTCAGCTGACGCTATGCGGAATATCGATAAAGCAAAGAATGCGACATTCAGCAAGCAGGTTCATCTTCCAGTGCCATATGTTCTAAATGGCAGCGATTGATTCTCCACCAGAGAATGTTTGGGGAAAGTGACATTCTCCGCTTTATAAACAAACACCTGTGACACGTACCTGCTCTTACATAGAAGAAGAATGCTGGACAGATTTTGTGGTAGTCTTGGTAAACACAAAGAAACTTGGCGAGTATAAAAGTCCGGTACACTGAGCTCACAGAGATCCACCTACGCCGCACATACACGTGATGACATAGACAAACACAAGCAATACAGATCAGCACAAAGTTCTGGCTTAGAGCAAAATACACAACTGTCTACGGCAGGGGTAGCCAAACTCCGGCCCGCCAGCTGTGGTGAAACTACAAATCCCATGATGCCTCTCTCTCTGGGAGTCATGTCTGTGGCTGTGAGAACCTTGCAATGCCTTGTGGTATTTGTAGTTCCACCACAGCTGGAGGTCCGGCGTTTGGCTACCCCAGGTCTACGGCATCAAATCGAAATCAACGTAACGGAAAAAGAAACCAACAAAATCAAAAAGTTCTGGCTTAGAGCAAAATACACAACCATCTACGGCAGGAGCAGCCAAACTGCGGCCCTCCAGCTGTGGTGAAACTACAAATCCCATGATGCATCTCTCTCCGGGAGAAACAGAACAGAATATTTATTCAGAATGCAATGGCAAAACACTGTATAAGAACAAGGAGTGACACGCATTGGAGGGTTTGCAAAACGTTACATTCTGATTGTATAATTGCTATACAATCTCCTTCAGGTCTATCAACACCTATGTAGTGCGAGGGCCTGACTGTATACAGGTTGATTGCAGAGTTATATCACTTAGTATTGGTAAATCTAGAATTGATTACACCATGTATGGTAAACCCTTCGATCTAGAAAAACAATGTAGTAGAAGCTCTACCTAAACCATTCATTCCTCCAGTGTGCCGTCAGGTATGATCTCTGTGGTTGCTGGCAGATCCAAAGGATTTAGTACAATCGGAGCTAGAATTTACTTCTAGGACACCCGAATACTGATGTCAGTGACAACGATAAAAGGTAGTTCCGAGCTGATTTTGTAAACTGTTGTCACTGGAACTCTGGGCAAACTCAATATGACATATGATGCAGACTGTCAACAACATTGACACAGCAGGTTATGCTCTTCCGAGTCGCCCCCCCCCCCCCATCATCATATCGATTACCTGGTGATCCTGCCAGTATGTTAGGAATTTTCAGCTTCCTTTAACCCTTTTTCTGCCACAGATGTCAGTGTTACATCTGTGGCAGCAAAGAACTATAAAACACACTCCTGCCTGCTATAGCAGCCGCGAGTGTGTTTACATCACTTCAGTGACTGTTGGCTTTCAGGTAAAGCCGCCGGAGTTCTGCACAAGGCTGTATCCCCACTGCAGATGTCGCCACCAGCCCACCCCCCCACCCACCCCATCTGCCATGTAGCCAGGGCTCTCTTGCACCTCCTGTGGGCCTGGGATGGCCAAAGTGGATGTTAGCGGGAGAACAAACTGAGATCAACCAACAGCTTTCCCCTTCTGTGGAAGTGATGCGTATTGGTCACTAAAGTTGCCAGATTTTCTGCGCCAGCCCCATGAGAATGCCACCGCACTCCTTGTTGGTAAACCCCTGGTGTAAGTTGGGCGCTGAAATGACTGTGGATTGCGCCCCTCCCTCTACGAACAAGAGGTCACCAGCACACTGAAATGCCTGTCCAGACAACACAATACTGAGCCTCATTAAGGGACCATGCGTGGCCCCCAAATGTCGCCATCTTTGTGACAATACGTCAATAAAGGACGTTTGTCTGGTGTGCTGGTGGCATCATGTTTGTAGATTTATGTACCCACCTCCGTTTCCTCCCGCCATGTATCCAGGGCTTTGCTGCGCCTCCTGCCGGCTTGGGATGGCCATGGTGGGTATTAGCGGAGATCAGTAAACAGACGTCCCCTTCGGTGAATGAACCTTGTAGCGATGAGCATTCGTCACTTCCAGTTTGAGCTCTTGTTCCCCTGCAGACAGGCTGGGTCCAGGGGTGTACACCACACCATACCTGTGCACAAGTATACATTCAGAGCAGCTTCAGCCTGTCATCAATTTGGACACAAAACACGTGGGCCCCCCCCACCGGCATAGAGACTCGTCTGCGTTTAATCGTGTATAGACCCCTGCAACCTTTCGCTGGAGTTGAACTGGCAATAAACTGCTCAAATTTCTTCCAAGTCCTGCTAAAATCAGCCAAAATTTGAGCAGTGGGCGGCCCCGACGGCTCCCCTCCATTTGACAGAAGTCGAAAATTGTTGCCTGTACAGTGAATGCAGCCAATGAGTCACTGCTTGAATATTCTGACAGCCCAGGGCACCAGCAGTCAAAATACAATAGCCAGCGGGGGAGATTCTTCCATCTACATGGTTTTGCCTGGATGGGGGAATCAAGCGTTTATTCCTCATTAAGCCACATTGACTGACCAAGAAAAGAAAACCTCTAGTGCATGGCCAGCTTTAGACTTTGGTTAGTCACGTAAGGTCCGTCTCAGGGCCCATTGACACGGGCAGCCACCGTGAGCGCACACAGCAGCAGTGTGGCCAGATATGTACCCCTTACAGTGCAACAGGCGCCACTGCTCGCATGTAACCTCTCATCTGGCTACATACACTTAGAGATTCGGACCAGCACCGGACACATATACAGACAGGCCGCAGTTAAACGTCCAGTTTGTACGCAACTGCGTCCAGAGGAGGAGTTTAGCAGCGTACCGCCCTCACTGGCCCGTCTGAACGAGGCCTCAATAAATCCATTTAACACTTTCCTATACACAAGTTGGCAATACTGCCACCCTGGGGTTGACAACGCCGCTCCTATATAGATATAATGTAGTGAACGTTGTCACCCTAGGACAGCCAGATAGAAAGAAAATGCAGCCGCCACATCTGCGGAATGGTAAGACGCAGTATATTAAAGCGAATATACGGTGAAAGCTTTTATTTTTGTTTTGGATAATGTGGGATGCGGCTCGGTTTATGTTTTGTACCCATTTGCGTTAGATCAGATCAACGCCAGGTCACCTAGCCACGCAACTGTCCTCCATGAGCCTTGCTCACAAAACAACGCTGCTTTGGTCTGAGGTGCATAAAAATGCAGACATGCCGCGCTTTTACGTAGCATGAGTCACCTCGTTACAGCGTGCTGCAGCACATCGACTCGACTGAAGTGTCATTTTGTGATAGATCAATAAAGTTCAATGAAAGGTAACAGGGTGATGATGTGTTGTGTGGAGGCGGAGCTGCGTCCAATGAAGGCGGAGCTGTACGTTGCTACAACAGACACCAGCGTCAACAAACCCATACTGTCTGTGTACCACTAAGGAGATTACCCTTGACTTCCTGTCTTAGACACACAACAGGAAGTTGGAGGAAATATTCCTAAATGGGAGGGGGGATTTACGCTCTTAGGTATCCCCGTTGGAAGGTTTTCTCTTACTTCCTGTCCTGGTGACAACTTTAACATGCTGGATTCCCTCATCACCTTTGCCAGTAAAATTGGAGGGGATCTCCCCTGACAGAAATAAAAACCTGACAGAGGGTGTCACCGTTCTCTGCTCTATCCAAAACCAAAATAAAAGGCTTTGTTCAGAGGTGCCCTTTAAATGATGCTCTGCATCTGCCTGGGGTGACCTGGGGCTGCTCTGCTGTGGTGGCACTACAAGTCCCAGCATGGACTCAGCTGGAGGGTCCTCAATGTCCCTATCAGGCAGCAGACAGCCCAGGGTGCCCGGCCTTCCCCGGGGTTCCTGTACACAGCTCCATGTCCAGTCTGTACACAAGGGGGAGGGGGGGGCTCAACATGGCTTCCCCCTCAGAAAAGACACTCGGAATCACTACAGAGTCCGTGAGGTTGTCAGATATGCAGCGGGTGTCCGGCTGGCACCGAGCGGCCACTACTTACCGCAGGCCGGGTGATAGGTGTACGCGAGTCCCCGGCTCAGTCAGGCGGCGCAGGCCTCAGGCCGGGGCCTGGCGAGAGGTGCAAAGGCGGCCCTGGGTGGAGCCTGGCGGTAAGGGGGAAAAAGCCGCCGCGTCACGGGGAGAAGCAGCGGGCAGTGAGAGGCAGAGAAAGACCGACGGAAGGCTCGTCACTTACCGGGAGTCCCAGGAGGCAGCAGCGGCGGAGCGCGGAGACACCCCGGGCTGATGCGGCGGCCATCTTGAAAGCTGAAACCCAGGGAGGTGAGGCAGTGCTGGGAAGAGCGCGGCGGGCGGAGGGAGAGCTGCCCGACACAGCGCGGAGGGATGAAAGGCTGCTGAATGGAAGAGAGCGGTGGGCGGAGAGCGCGAAAGGCAGAACAGCTATGGGGAGCGCAGAGGGAGACGCGCGGAACAGCCGGAACAAGGGGAGGGGTCGCTGTGCGTGTGTCACGTTATGGGCGGGCCTCCAGGTCGTGCGGGGCGGAGCCGCGAGCGGACTAGGTCAGGGTATGGGGAACCAGTTGGAGAACGGCGGCCCAGGCCCCGTCCTGATTGGTCGATGACGTCACCCTCTCCGGGCGGGGCCGCGAGGTTGTTGTTGGAGGGATTCAGCGAGTCAAGAGAGGGAGGGTCGGACGTGAGTGGAATAGCGCTGGGGAGCGAAGAGAGAGCGGTCGGGGTAAAGGCGCTTGGGGTAGCGGACGAGACCACGTGACCGAGGAAGGGCAGGACCGCCGCGGTCTCCATCTTTGTTTCGGGCAAAACAAAAGGCGTCCATCTTGTTAACCCGTTCTGCGCCCGTTACCTTGAACTGTTACCCGACGTAACCACTCCCTTGTCATGCATATGCAAGAGGTTATTAATATTGGAATGTTAATGAGTCACATTTGCATATCAGTATGTACAAAGCACGGTGGAGTCGGCGGCGGTCAGTGATGAAGCTGTGCATGAAATGGTGGCAATGGAGGGAGGTGAAGAACAATCATTGATCATTACTGAGGACATGTTCCTTCAATCGCTGTATGCCGTGGCTGACCCCCAATAAACCTTTACCCCCACGGCCGGATATAAATATAATACAAACCGGGGGACTTCATCAAAACTGCAGCAGACGGCATCTGGAGCAGTTGCCCATGGCAACCAATCAGGTTCTCTCTTCATTTTGCTCAATTAAGCTTTGAAAATGAAAGCTAGAAACTGATTGGTTGCTATGGGCGACTGCCCCAGTTCTGATTCATTCCTCTCTGTTATCCACACAGGATCTCGCCAACGGAAAGATCCCGTGTAAAAAAAAAAAAAAGTGATGGTCCATAAAGTGCTTCCATTTATGTGCGTTTATAAGAGTGCGTTAAAACATTTGCATCCGTAAAATTCTTCTTCCGTTCCTCTAGGGCAGGGATGGGCAAACCACGGCTTTCCAGCTGTTGTGGAACCACAAGTCCCATGAGGCATTGCAAGATTCTCACAGCCGCAGACATGACTTCCAGAGACAGATGCCTCATGGGATTTGTAGTTTCACCACAGCTGGAGGGCTGGGGTTTGCTTACCCCCAAGGTCTAAGGGCTCAAGCTCATCAACAGCTGGAGTAGCTATTGAGGCACTACTAGTCCCATGAGGCATTGCAAGACTCTGACAGACACATACATGACTCCCAGAGGCAGATGCATCATGGGATTTGTAGGTTTCATCACAACACAGCTGGAGGGCCGAGGTTGCTCACCCCGTGTACAGCGTGTAGCGTTTTGTGGAAAATTGTGCGTATTGTTGTGTGTACGCATGTGCGTGCTGGGATTGACAACTGAGCTGGAGGAATGGAAGAAGCATTTTTCTGCATATGAATGTTTGGTGGCTGTTTACAGGTATAAATGCATCAAAGCGGAAGCACTTTACAGGCCATTGGGGCTCATACACATGTAATCAGAATACTGATATCTACACATCAACATCAGACTCACGTCATGGTCCGCAAAGCGCTAACCAATAGGCTTCAGAATTCCGTTCATCCCGCCTCCTGTGACCACCAATTAGATTTTTGCTTTCCTTTTCTCCTCAGCATCACTAAAAACACTGAGGGGAATTTATCAACACTGGAGCAGAGAGAATGTGGAGCAGTCGACCATGGCAACCAATCAGCTTCTCTATTTCATTTTCAGAGCTTTCATGAACACTCTGAGGAGAAAGACTCATAGGTTGTCATGGACGGCTGCTGCAGATTCTGTCCAGTTTTGATAAATTCCCCCCAATGTAGGTTAATAATATTTAGTTGCCACGGCAACACGGACACCTTCTCATTGAGCTGTTTCCTAAATAAAGTCAACACCGCAATATATGTTCAATAAGCACATTTAGTCCCCGTTCATATCTTCACGTTCTGTGAGCGCGTGTCACATATGTGTGCACTCATGTGTATTCACATTTGTTTTTTCGTGCGTTTGCTGAGCATCCGCCATTGATTTCCTGCCACCTGCATCCTAACAACCAAGGACCGTCGCTGATAACACACTACTAATGGGCTCCTACCGCCTGTGTCCTAGCAACCAAGGACCGTCGCTGATAACACACTACTAATGGGCTCCTACCACCTGCGTCCTAGCAACCAAGGACCGCCATTGATTACACATACTGATAGGCTCCTGCAACCGAGGACTGCCGCTGATTACACACTACTGATAGGCTCCTGCCACCTGTGTCCTAGCAACCGAGGACCATCGCCGATAATACACATACTGATAGGCTCTTGCCACCTGGAGTCCTCAGTTGCAAGGACGCAGGAGGCTCCAATAAAGCACATTCGCGGCACATGCATGCTAGCGCAAATGTTTACATGCGTACAGCACAAAACACGCTTCATAGGCCGCCACTTGAACGCAGATTTTTTTATTTTCCTTGGTTTGCACAGTTGTGTACACAGACCCATAGAGCACAATACTGCTGCATTCAGATCTGTACAAATTCCAAATCTAAATGCGTTTTTTCATGTCCGTGTGCGTGAGCGCTTGCGTGTGTTTTTGCCCAAGATACTGCATAGATAGCAGTTATTATCACGGCCGCATGTATGTGCCCTAACAGTCCGTGAAGTGCTGCTGTTTAGATGCAAAAATATCCGAAAACAGTTCACATCTTTAAAATTCTACTTCCATTCCTCCAGCGCAGTGCACATGAATTTACATACGTACATGCGTAAGTGACACAGAAATACGGGAGGCACACAGTTTTTACTCTGATTTTAAGCAGTTGTGCGCAGCGCGAGGCTACCGAGCACAACGAGGGCGCATGCGTAAACATGCCTCTGGGTCTATTCCTCTAGCTCAGTTTTCACTAAAATTGCACATGTGTCTACACCTGTAAATGACGCAGAATTACTGACCACGGGCGCAGAATTTATAACTTTGATTTTATGCAGCTGAACGCAGAGCAAAATTAACGAACACATTACGCCCGCACGCATGGGCCCGTAATATACAAAACTGCTGCGTTCCAATCAGCACAGTGGCGTAGTGGTTACCGCTTCTGCCTGGCAGCACTGGGGGTCCCTGGGAGGACAGGGACGGATGTGAATGAGCTCTGTCAATGTAAAGTGCTGTGAAAATTGTTGGCGCTATATAAATACCTGTAATAAATAATAGTTGCACTGTTGTCAGGAGATGAGTTTGGGTTACTCCTCACAAAAAAACATTCAACCACCTGAGAGCCTAATTAGGGAGCCGCCTCTGCTGCACCCACACGCACCCGTGGAACTCTCTGGAACCCTAGTGAGAGCCTGCAAACCCTCCTGACACCCTGAAGACATCAGGCAGAGAACCCAGAGCAACAGAGTATGTAGCTTCATATTATTCTGCATTGCTGTAATATGTATTTCTGAGATTTGTAGTTCTCTATAGCTGATGCAGTTCTGCATTGCTGTATAATGGTATTGGTAGTCATTATTGCTGGGATTTATAGTCCGCTATAGCTGATGGTATTCTGCATTGTTGTGTAATGTATTGCTTGGATTTGTAGTTCTCTATAACTGTTGGTAGTCATTATTGCTGGGATTTATAGTCCGCTATAGCTGATGGTATTCTGCATTGTTGTGTAATGTATTGCTTGGAATTGTAGTTCTCTATAGCTGATGGAATTCTGCAATGCTGTACAATGTATTTCTGAGATATATAGTCCTCTATAGCTGGTGGTATTATTCTGCCTGGTTGTATAATATGCTGAGATTTGTAGTCCCTCTACAGCTTGGAGTTAGTGGCAGAAGTACCAGGGTCGCAGCAGTCGTACACACGCACAGCACTGACGAGGCATCCCTCCACTACCAGTGTGCTATAATTTTCCTCAACCCATAAATTTCTCTACCGCTTCACTTCCAGGTGTGCATGTCATGAAGAAACGGGGTCATGAAAACAGCTGATTCGGATGACTCGGCCCCACTGGAAGTGACAAAGTCGAGAAAATGTATAGGATGGAGAAAAATTATAGAACACTGACTTTGACACTGTCCGGCCCCTCCCACTAACCCCCCAGTAACCTCCCACAGCTCACAGCCCAGAAGCATGAACAGCCAGCGGCGGCCTACAGTGGGTGAGAGTGCCTAAGTAGTGGACATGGAGCGGAGTAAGGCCAGAACCATGTAGGGAGCTCAGTGGGAGGAGAGCACTATCCCCCAGCCTGTCACCCCTTTCATGGACTTACTAGGAGTCCTCACATCAGCCGACCATTCACACTACCGTTACATGGATGGCAAAAATGGCAGACGGGCGGGAAAAATGCGGGGAAGAGGCAGAGCGGGAGGGGGACCAAGTTGCTGCACCATGGGCCTCTGGGTTGTACTTGTCCCCTGGGCTAAAAGTTGCCAGTCAGCCCCTGGTCTCCACTATATTGTAAAGCGCTAAGCAAATTGTTGGCGCTATATAAATCCTATATAATAATAATCACTTCCGCATTCACACTACGGAGGGAGATCAGCAAGGAGGAATATGCTGACCTTCCTCCTAACACCCTCCCGATCCGCAGGATTGAAGGTGAGGGGGCAGGAGGAGGGGGTTAATGGCGGCGGTGGCAGCATTTGAGGGGGGGGACACGCAGCCAGAACATACAAACGATCGGAGGGCTATAGAGCCGCCGATCGTTCGTATGTGAAACAGCCAGTAGCGGCTCTTCACATCGGACGGGTTTTTTCTCCCCTTTGGCGCACGCAAGGGCAGAAAAATACGGCAACCCACCGATGGGACTTTGCTGTCCGTTTTTTTGCAACGGGCGGACGGCAAATGGT